TTCTTTCGATGTACACAGGTATTTTATCTTCAGTATATCCCATTTGTCAATTTGTGACTCATCTGTATTTGTGTACTTCCCTGTTTCTGATAGCCTATGTATTCCCTGGGCCAAGGTTCTCAGGTTGGTCCCAATTCCCTCATTGATGGCCCTAATAGTTTGGGGTATTACTTCAAGGTCTGTGATCCACCTTGAGTTTATTCTTGTGCATGAAGTGACATAAGGGTCTTGCTTCATTTTTCTGTAGGTATATATCCAGTTTTTCCAGCACCACTTGTTGAAGAGGGCATCTGCTTCCCATTGGATATTTTTTTGACCCTTATCAAAGATCAGTTGTCTGTATGCTGATGATTTTATTTCTGTGTTTTACGTTCTTTTCCCTTGGTCTGAGTATCTGTCATTGTAGTCAAAACCAATACCGTGTGGTTTTAACTACTGTGGCTGTATAATATGTGTTAAAGTCAGGTAAAGCAAGCCCTCCCACTGTGTCCTTCTTCTTGAGGAGTTCTCTGCTAATTCTGGGCTTCTTCCCTCTCCATATGAAGTTAGTAATCACTTTTTGCATTTCTTTGAAGAAAGATGAGGGTAATTATACCAGGATTGCATTAAACGTATATAATGCCTTGGGCAGAACTAACATCTTTACTATATTGAGTCTTCCAATCCACGAGCATGGGATATTCTTCCATTTGTTGAGGACACTCTTAGTTTCTTGTAATAGTGTTCTGTAGTTTTCCTCATGTAGATCTTTTGTTCGTTTAGTGAGGTATATCCCTAGATACTTCAATTTGTGCTTGGTGATTGTGAAGGGTACCACCTTTTTTATCTCTTCTGTGGTCTTATCCAATGTGTATAGCAGTCTGATTGACTTCTGTTTGTTGATCTTGTATCCTGCCACCCTGCCAAACTCCTCTATTTCTTCCAGTACTCCCCTTGTAGAGCTTTTGGGATTTTCAATATATAAAATCATATCATCTGCAAATAACGATAGTTTCACCTCTTCCTTCCCCAGATGAATTCCTTTGGAGGGTTAATAACTATTGCAAAAGGAGTGCGTACTGGCACAGATCAGAGACGAAATTAGGAAATTTCTAGAAACCAACGAGAATGAGAACATGACGTACCAAAACTTATGGGACACCGCAAAGGCTCTTAGGTTTTCTTCAGCTTCTCTGATTATCTTATTAAATTTTTGTTTGAATTTGTTAAAGTCTGCCTTGCTGCCCTCCATGTCACTGGTGCAGTTCTCTGCTTCCTCCAGTTGATTCTCGAGGTCTGTGAGTCTGCCTCTGTTTTTCGTTATCTCCTTCCTAGCCCTTGTATTTCTCTTTGGTGTATGGACTTTATCTCCTCCATCATTTCATCCTTTTTCTGTATTGTTTCCCTCATATCCTGTATGACTCCAAGCAGCATTCTGAAAATTTCTTTCTGTGGCAGATCATGTCTGTTTCTTCTATGCATGTCGTTAGGTTCAGGACATCTTCTGCCATTGCCTTTTGTTTCTCCTGTTTTTTCGTTGAGGTCGTTGGGGCTGATTGCTATTTGCTTTGCATTATTTTAGAGGAGCCAGGTGCAATTTTCCAGGGAGTTGAAGAGCACTGGCTCTCTTTGGGAGACTCATAAGAATGTTTCTTCGAACTGCCTACAGATATTTTTACTATGTAATTAGCCTACCATTTAGACTCCTGTGGCTTCACTCTCAAAAGTAGTGCCCCATAAGGCTGGTGGTTGTCTGCTTTGGTGTAGAACACTGAAAATGGTGGGCAGAATTGCCCTCGCCAGGTAGATCACTGCGGAGATTGAGCAGAGGTTCCTGCAGCAGCTTGGAATGTTGGCTCAGCTGCCTTAGGCTGTGTGAGGCACTAAGGTAAGCAGAAGTTCCCTCAGTTATGTTGGACAACAGAGGAAAAATAAGAGCTCCCCCAGCTACACAAGCTTGAATTCCCAGTAAGGAGTTGGGCGGAGTATCCCCTGGTGGAGGTCAGCAGGGCTGTCCCCAGCCTGGGGCTATGTACAGCTGCACAGGGTGGATCTCACCTAACTCAGTGGGGGGCAGGCGTAAATGCTCTAGGCTAAGGGGAGTAGTCTGGAGGTCAGCAGTGGCATGTGAGAGAATAGGGAAGAGACAAAGAGGAGAAAAATAAAATTAAAAACTAAGCCCACTGAGACAGTGGGGGGATAGAGAGAAAAGAGGGTAACAAAAGTAACCATGTAACTGAGCCCCAGTCCCTGCCCATGGAGCTGCCAAGGAGGCAAGTTGTGGCTGTGTTGAGATAAAGCCCTGTGCAAGCTCCAAATGGTACTGAGTTGTGGCTGTGTTGAGATAAAGCCCTGTGCAGGCTCCAAATGGTCTCGGCTCTGGCAGAGACAGTGGCGGGGCTAAGGTGAAGCCCTAGCTGGCCTCCACTGTGGTAAGTCAAAAGCCCCCAGCCCCTCAAAACCTTGTGGATCTGTGCCTACTTATCTTTGTGATGCTCCTCCTTCAATACAGCAGTATTGAATTTTCCTCTTAGTAACTCTCCTGGGATGATTTCTGCGGAGTGCCTCTGGTATGTGTTACTCAGTCGCCATCTGCCCAGAAGTCCCCCATATTAGCTTTTCAACCCAAGAGGTTATAGGTTTAAACAAGTGGTTCTCAACCTGTGGGTCGTGACCCCTTTGAGGGTCTAAAGACCCTTTCACAGGGGTCGCCCAATTCATAACAGTAGCAAAATTACAGTTATGAAGTAGCAACAAAAATAATTTCATGGTTGCGGGTCACCCCAACATGAGGAACTGTATTAAAGGGTCGTGGCATTAGGAAGGTTGACAACCACTGGTTTAAACTGGTTAAGACATGGCATCACCATCTGGGTTTCCTGAAATAGTTCCCTTCCATCAGGGATGTTTTCTAGATATCCTGTGTTCCTGTTTGGAGGGTAGTCTTTCAGGGACTTGGGAGTGTTTATTAAGCCTTAAATTTGTACCTCTTGAAAGATAAACTTTTTGGAACAGGCATCTGAGGAGCAGAGAGTTCTGTGCTGAGGTCCTATGCCATGATCTCATGGATGTGCTTTGTTTTCATAGGTCAACTTCCAAAGTCTATCAACTGTCTCCAAAGAAGTCACCATACCCAGGGTCGCCAGTGAAATATCGTCTTCCTGCCTTTTCATATCAAGAAGTTCCGAAGAAGAAGGCAGAGAAAGAAAAGACCAACAAGGAAAGGGAAAGTGCTGGTGGACTGCAGGCTCTTGGTGGGCACGGAGAAGATGCCCTTGAGAAGCATGTTGTGGACAAGCACATCACTGAGAAGCATGCTGCTTCTGGAGGGAAGAGCGAGAGCAGTGAAGGTAGACTTTCTCTGAAGATGCAACCTGGGATCTTGGGTCTCCAAAAATAGTCCTTTTTCTGACCCAGTTCAAACAAGATTCTTGCCTTCTTCCTGCTTCCACCTCTTAGTCACTTGAAGTTCCCTTGGAGGAGGAGACTAAAGGGCTCCACTCCACCCTGTTATTTTTAGGGGAGCACTCACAGGTGTGCTGAGTAAGGCAAGTTTTACCCAGCCAGAATGTGGACACGTACTTCCCAACAAGAGAGAGGCTTACTCCAATCTTTTTAACCTTATGATACAGTGAGTTCACCTCAATGGTCACAGCAGCCTTGGAACTTTCCAGTTATTTGCTCCTCCATACCAGTCCACTTTCCTGTGCTATGAAATATATCCAGGGACACAACTGGTCCCAGTATAGCTTTTCTTGGTTGGTAGTTAATTATGCTAGTCTTAGCAGCATTTCCCCTTACTCCAATTGGGTTGGATTTTCCCCCAAGTGGTGACTGCTACATGAGTAGAATAACTGTGCTCACTCACCTACGTCTTTTCTTTGTGGTGCCTCCCTCCCAATGCAGCTACAGGGAAGCCTACAGCAGGTACTACTGATGCTGGAGAGGCAGCGAAGATCCTGGCTGAGAAGAGACGACAGGCTCGGCTGCAGAAGGAGCAGGAAGAACAAGAACGACTAGAGAAGGAAGAGCAAGACAGGTATTGACTTAGAATTGGGGGGATGGGTTCATGGGAAAGGCTACAGTAGCCAGAATAACTGGCTATCTTTTACTATTTGGGAATTGATTGAAAAACTAACAAACAGCCTAGGAGCTAGGAATGGCTGATTTTTCACAGAAGGTGCTGGGGTGCTTGGGGTGTGGGTAATAGCTGCTATTAGATGTAATTCACACAGCAAGGGACTTTGGTCTTTTCAGAGGACCTGGAAACTCGGAGCTCTGAGATCTAAATTGTATAGTTAGCTTCCCTTATTCTCTTAGCCTTTGAGACCAGCCAGTCTTCTTGATCTCTTAAGAACAATATCTTTGAGCTTTAATTATGGAATGAGATTCTGAGAAGAGAGAAGGTTCCAGATGCAGAGATCTTGGTTCTGCTTCCCCAAGTTATATTTCCTCACCCATTTTCCTAACCCTAGAGACAGAATGAGGGTTAATAAGTGTTCTCTAGAGAGGGGTGGAACCACCTTCATAGTCTATAAGCATTGAGGTGTGGAGACACCCCCTCTGGAACACAATAGGGATACCTCTTTGCTGTGACTGCCAAACCTGGAAGGGTAACGGCGCCATCTGGGCACATGGTACACAAACTCAGGGGTCAGTGACATGAGCCTTTGTAGCCTTGCAGCACTCCTGGTGATCCTGATGCAACACTGTTTGAGAGTTTAAATGCAGTCCTATCTTTTCTGAGCTCTCTATTCAGAGAGGAATGCATGCTAAAGACGAGGTAAATTTTATTATTAATTTGATAAAGGTAAACCCCTCGGGACCAATTATGAGAGTAGCAATACCAGAAGGGTAAGGGAAAGTGGGGTGAGAAAGAGGGAACCGATCACAAGGATCTACATATAACTCCCTCCCTGGGGGACAGACAGCAGATAAATGAGTGTAAGACATGAAAAAATAACAATTTACAAATTACCAAGGGTCCGTGAGGGGAAAAAATGAGCTGATACCAAGGGGTCAAGTAGAAAGAAATTGTTTTGAAAATGATGATGGCAACAAATGTGCTTGACAAATGAATGGATGGATGGATTGTGATAAGAGCTGTATGAGCCACCAAAAAATTATTTGTAAAAATTAGATAAAGGAAGCTTTTAGAGCAATTACGGTAAGTGTGTAGCTCAAGCCACTTATACAGAATTCAAAGGATAGGAAGCAAGTGATGCTATAGCACTTTGATGCTGGCACAGAATTAAAAATAAAAAACAGAATATTCTTGATCTTTATATGACCTTGGCAAGTGTCTGATCTCTGATTACAGTTTTGCTGATCTGTTTGAAAAGAACAGTGTGTGGAAGGCGAGTGAGGTCAGATTGATCCCTTTTTGTTGATGATTTCCCCACCCCCAGCCTTTTGATTAATATCAGCAGATTTTTTATTGACTAAGATATTTGTACTGGTTTGGGTGGGCTATAATATGCTTGAAGGAAGGTTGCAGGAGATGAAGATTAATTTCAGGTCTTCAAATGCCAGACCTTGGTAATTACCAACCCTGAAGAGACCATGCAGGCACTGAGCAGATAAGTAAGCTGATTGTAGCCATTTACTTACCAGGGCTAAGCATCTTTACCATCCCACCACCACCCTCTCTGTCATGTGCATTTTCTTCTCAGTCCAGTTCCTCACCAAGTTAATTGCACTCTCTGCCTTTACTTCCTCAACTCAGATCCACTCCTAATTGCCAAACTCCTTGTTGCCTTTAGACTTACTGAGCTTTCTTGTGCTTCTCTGGACTTTATTTCTTGTCTCCTTTGTCCACTCCTCCATCCCAATCCTCATTCTTAGGCCAGTTCCACCTCTGACCAGCCTCCCTGAACAATGTTGCTCCTCCCCCTGTCATTATCCCCATCATGTTGAATTGGATCAAGATTCATATCACACAAGGGTTTTAGGTTTTGAGTATTTGGTGTGCTAAGCCAACCCTGCTGTCATCTCTTTCTACCTTCATTTTCCCTTTTCCTTATCATCTGTCAATTTCTTTTTTTTTAATCATTTTATTGGGGGCTCATACAACTCATCACAATCCATACATACATTCATTGTGTAAAGTACATTTGTACATTGGTTGGCATCATCATTCTCAAAACATTTGCTCTCCACTTAAGCCTTTGGCATCAGCTCCTCATTTTCCGTCCTCCCTCCCCACTTCCCCCTCCCTCATGAACCCTTGATAATCTATAAATTATTATTTTGTCATATCTTACACTGTCCGACGTATCCCTTCACCCACTTTCCTGTTGTCCATTCCACAGGGAGGAGGTTATATGTACATCCTTGTAATCGGTTCCCCCTTTCTACCCCACCCTCCCCCCACCCTCCTGGTATCGCCCCTCTCACCACTGGTCCTGAAGGGATCATCTGCCCTGGATTCCCAGTGTTTCCAGTTCCTATCTGTACCAGTGTACCCCTCTGGTCTAGCCATATTTGTAAGGTAGAATTGGGATCATGATAGTGGTTGGGGGAAGGATGCATTTAGGAACTAGAGGAAAGTTATATGTTTCATCATTGCTACACTGCACCCTGACTGGCTCATCTCTTCCCCACGACCCTTCTGTAATGCAATGTCTAGTTTCATCTGTCAATTTCATCTTGCTTTGTAAGCCTTAAACACGCTGGAACAAAAAAAGGCACTAAATTCTAGAAGACCTGTGTGTAGATGACTCTTGACTGCTGGTGGCCAGGGCCCTCTCTAGATCCACCCTGTCCAGTGAAGTTGCCTCCACTGATGCATGGCTATTGAAATTTAAACTACGTAAAATTACAATTTGGTTCCTCCATCACATTAGCCATACTTTTAAAGTGCTCATTAGCCACATGTGCTGTCAAATTGAACAGCACAGAAAGTTCTGTTGGACAGAGCTATGCTTTCCTTTGAGAGTGTCCATATGCATCTCAATTTTAACATGTCTAAACTGGTACTTAATATATTTCTCCTCCAAGTCTTCTTTCTTTTACAAGCTCTACACCTTCATTTCCCCAAACACCCAAGTCACAAGTCTCAGAGTCAACTATCAACTCTTTCTTTACCCACCCCCTCCACATGCACCAAGAAGTTGTTAAGTCTGGGCTGCCTCAGTAGCACTTCTGTTCTCCCCTCCAACTCTGTTCTCCTATCTGAGTTCAAGACCCTGCTGTCTCTTACCTGGACTGTGTCTGTGGTAGCCCAGCATATTTCCCTGCTCTGGGGCTCCCAGAGTTGTCCACCCTCCCTCCATGTGTCCCCAGTGACCTTTCTATAACTCTTCAGCTCCTGTCCTTAAAACAAGCCATGCCCACAGGAGCTATCCAAACCTATCAACAGGCCTTCAAAGCCTGCCATTAGCCAAGTACCACCTGTCTTTCTGCCCCCTCCCACCCTGGGTGTCAACATGCAGATCTCCCCAATAGTACCTCACAATACTACCCATACCTCCAAATCTTGGTTCATGCTGTGCCCTTTCATGGACACCTTCCTGTCTGTCTGTCTGTCTGTCTGTCTGTCTGTCTGTCTATGTATGTATGTATCTGTCTGTCTGTCTGTCTGTCTCTTTATTGGGGCTCTTACAGCTCTTATAACAATCCATGCATCAGTTGTATCAAGCACATTTGTACATATGTTGCCTTCATCATTTTATAAATATTTTCTTTCTGCTTGAACTCAGTATCAGCTCCTCTTTTTATCCAACCCCCTCGTGACCCCTTGATAAATTATAAATGATTCTCATTTCTTACACCAACGGCTGTCTCCCAGGGGATGGGGTTATGTGTCAATCATTGTGATAGGTTTCCCCTTTCCTCCTCCCCCCACCTTCCCCCTACTCTCTTGGTATCACTACTCCCAATGCTGTTCATGAGGGGTTTCTCTGACCTGGATTCCGTGTGTCATGAGCTCTTATCTGTACTAGTGTACATGCTGCAGTCCAGCCAGAATTGAAAGGCAAGACTGGTGTCATTATAGTGGGGGGGGGTGTAAGGGAAGCCTCAAGGATCCAGAGGAATATTGTGTTTCATCTGTGCTATACTTCACTGTGATTGACTCATCCCTTCCTTGTGACCATTCTGTGAGGGGATGTCCCATTGTCTACATATGAGTTTTGGGTCTCTGCTCCAATCCCCCCTCATTCTCAACAATATGTTTTTTGTTTGTTTGGTTTGAGTCTTCTGGTTCCTGTTACCTGGTGTGCTTCTTCCATGTGGGCTTGTTGCTTCTCTGCTAGATGGCTGCTTGTTTAACTTCAAGCCTCCAAGACCCCAGATGCTATATCTTTTGATAGCTGTGCACCATCGGCTTTCTTCACCACATTTGTTTGTGTACCCATTTTGTCTTCGACGATCTTAATAGGAGGGGGAGCATCACAGAATGCCAGGTTGTTAGAACAGAGTGTTCTTGAGTTGAGGGAGGGCTTGAGCAGAGACCCAAAGTCCATCCACTACCTCAATGTATTGCCATATAAATATATGTACATAGGCCAATACCTCTATTTTTGTGAATTAATGTATTTACATATGTGCACACCTATGCTGATCCCTATGTCCATAGCTTTGCTCCCAAGATCTTTCCTCTGTTTCCTTTTACCTTCTTCCTGTCCCACCATCACGCTTACCCTTCTTCTAGTAATTCCTTTCAGCTAGATTGCTGTTGCTCCAACCACTCAAGATCTCTATGTCCTCTTCTTGTTGATTTTAATTCCCTAGTTGTTCCCCGGTTTATGACGTTGTTTGCTCACTGCTCCCTTCCCCCACTTCCTGTCCCCACAAGTCCCTCTGAATTGTTGGTCCCATTGCTTTCTCCTCAGGCTTGCTTCCTATGCCTACAGGTAGGCAAACCAACAATAATGGAGATAAAATAAAAGATTGACTAAAAAGAGAAAACAAAAAATAACTAGCAAAATATCCCGAGAAGGCATACATAATTCCAGGTCTGTCTGCTGACCTTCATGGCTATCTCCCTACCTGTCCTAGGAGGTTCCTGGAACTTCCCTTCCTAGCCTGAAGTCTATT